CCTTCCTTCCTTCCTTCCTTCCTTCCCCTAAAATCCTCTGTGGCTCCATCTCGCATTATTTTCACTTCTCTGTTCATGTCAGAAAGCCCAGTGGCCAAAAAATAGATATCAAGTAATTTAAGACACCCCAGTAAGGGAAACTGAAGTCCTACTGATTGACTGACTGCATCACAGTGAAAGAAATGAAACATTTAGTGTCTGATTCACCACATCACCTATAAAAGGAGTGAGATAAGTCCTACTATAGGTGTGCTTCTGTCTCTCCAGTAGAGATTTCTGAAGAAAGAAGAGAGAAGTCCCACAGCACAGTCGGTGGAGTGGGGGTGAGGGCATCTAACTTTAAAAATTGACATCAACATCTCTGCAAAAGGGATCTCAAGCAAATGCAAAGATCTAAGGAATAAATATGAGCCTTTGTACCCTGCAATCACATTCTATGTATTCCCCATTGTTGAGGAAGAAACTGCTGGAGACATCCTCAAGTCCTTCCCCAAGACATCTCCAGAACAGTGCAAGCAAAGGTGCTGAATGTGAGAATTACACCCTAGGATTAAGTCACCAGAACAAATGGATGTCTCACAACAGGGCTGTATGTGCTGTTCTTCCTTTGATGATGTGTCCTTCTCTGTGTGATATGGTCTCCTGACCAGGTCCATGTGTGTACAGTGGAAAAGGTGCTTCCCCACTCTGTCCCCATACATGGGTACATTTCTGCTGCCAAAATGCATTCTGTGCCTTGAGATTTACCAGTGTAGTCCAGTGGCTGGTTGCCCCTTCAGTAAGAGATGACGAGTCTGAAGAACGCAGAATTAATGACCCCTTTCTCCTCTGTGTCAGGCTAATTTCTTCTCTCTCTCTGTGCATCAGTTTCCCATTCTGGGCAGTAAGAAAACACAAAGCTGCCACGGCTGGCACAGCGCTGCATGAATATCCCATCTGCATCATACACACAGCAACACTCATCAGGGTAATGAGGCAATGTGACTAATGAAGCAGATAGTACTGAGCTTCACCCTCTACACTTTCTTAGCATTCTCTATGGGTATCTTTCCTTCTAATTATTCCTTCTTCCTTTGCCTGCCTATGGACAAAGGGTATTTGGGTTTGCTTTGTTTTGGTTTGGTTTTGCTTTCTTTGGACTGTGGGTGTTTTGGTTGTCAGCTGGGCTTTCCCTTCAGTGCAGAGAGCGCCTATGGAACCAGTTGGGACCACAGACCTGACATTTGTGGGGAGCACAATTAACCATGCACCCATAATGGAGCTAACCCCGAAATACCAACTCCTCATAGTTGTATGCTTGGTCACTATCCCAAACTATGAAACTTAGAGAGCATTAACATCACGCGCTTTCAGCACGCACAGTCGTTGCCTTCTTACTTTGTTCAGCTAAGCCAGCTCTAGAGTTGCACCCTTCGATCCAGTGGCTCTCCAGGGATTCCCAAGAGACTCCTCACTTGAGTAACTGGCTGAAGCACAGCGATCTTGGTGCAGTGACTACCCCTCTGGCAGTCTGTCCATTTGATTCCTCCCAGATGAAGCCAACAGAGGGACCAGAACCAGGAAACCACACTCTGCTGACTGAATTTGTCCTCTCTGGATTGTCCAACCACCCAGAAATGCAGCACTTGCTGTTCTTCACATTCTGCTTAATTTACACCGTCACCATCATTGGGAACCTTCTCATCTTCATGGTCACAGTGCACCCCACCCTCCGCATGCCCATGTACTTCTTCCTCCGGGTCCTGTCCTTCCTGGATATTTCCACAGCATCGATCGTTTTTCCCAAGATGCTGGTAAACTTCCTGTCAGAGGATAGAAGCATCTCCTACATGGGCTGTGCCACACAGCTCTACTGTGTGATTTTTCTTAGCAGCCACTGAATGGTACCTTTTGGCAGCCACGGCCTATGACCGTTATGTGGCCATATGCAACCCCCTTAGATATGCAATCATCATGAACAGCAGAGTTGTCATTCCTTGGTCCTGCCGTCATGCTGCAGTGGTAACACTGTGTCTGTGGTGCAGACAGCTTGGGTGTTCACATTGCCGTTTTGTGGGCCCAAGAAGATTAACTACTTCTTCTGTGATATTCCTCCATTCATCATGCTCACCTGCACTGCCACTTCTTTGTATGAAAAGCAGATCATTACAGCCACAGTGCTGGTCATCTTTACACCATTTTGTCTCATCCTGGTATCCTATGCCTGCATCATCTCCAACATCCTGAAGATTTCCTCTGCAGAGGGCGGACACAAGATCTTCTCCACCTGTTCCTCACACCTTACTGTTGTAAACACTTTATTATGCAAGTGGGACCTTGATTTACCATTTACCATAATTTGGCCAAAATCCAGTAATTCACAAGACACTAAGAAAGTCCTAGCTTTCATATACACGACCATAATTCCCACATTATACCTGATTTACAGCCTGAGGACTAAAGAAGTGAAACGAGTACTAATTAAAATTATAGCTGAGCTGAGGAAGGTATGAACTTATTTTGCTTAAAAGGAATCTTTCTTCTCCTCTGTATACTTGGATTTTTTGTTTCTTTTATGCTTGACATTTTTTAAATACCCTGATAACTTGGAACACTTGGAAAATGAATGTATCTCAAACACTACTTAGACATTTTGTGTTCCTTCTGTCCAGTATGAGTGTATATGAATCTTAGTACTTCAGTATTCATGTTATATCACCTTGTGTCATCTGATGAAAAATGAGGTTTCAGTCTTTGTTTCCAAGAAAAAAAAGTTAATATTTCATACAGTACAGTCACTATAGCAGAGACTGCAATATATCTTGGACAGGTGTATTGTCACCTGGGCCATAGTGTCATCTGTATTTTGCATATCTCTGTTACTAGTTCTTTATGCGATGAATAAAATTTTTTGGAGAAGTGCCTGAGAGCCTTATACAAGCACTCACAGATAAGTGGCTTCAGGACCTTGGAGTCATTTATCTTCTGTCATTTGGAAGAGGGGAGGAAATCAGCTCTAGCTTTGTCTGAGAGAGTACGAAACTGAATGCAGTCTCGTACATGACCAACAAATGTTCTAGGTCCATAAGTGCCTGTATGAAAGTGTGGCAGCAGCCTGTATGTGCCATTTCACCTGGTAATGCAGAGAACCTGGGCCAGATTTCCCAAGGTTCTTGTGTCTCATGTTTTAGTACAGCACATGGGCATCTTCCTTCTCTTTCAAGCAGATTCCAGAGACCAAGAATCATCATTTAGTCTTCCAAGAGTGAGTGGGAGCAAGATGTGTTATTTGGTGAATGTGCTTAAACAGAAAAATGATCATAATGAGCAAGAAAAAAACCTCTCATGAGAGTTGTCTCCACTGAGTTTTGCCTGTTGCCTTTCAGGGACAAATACTAGAGACAAGCATGAGTGCTGGTCTATGAGCTGCCTTCTTTTGCAGTCCAGATGGTACAACCACCATCTTGTAACAATGGACTCTGTCAGTCATCTCCAGTGCCAACCTTCTGCCAGGGCATCCTAGGACTGAGAAGCTCCTCAGAACAACCAGATCTCCAACGGCCTCTGAGTGTGCATGTGTGCACATGTGTGTGTATGCATGTACATGTATGCTTGTGTGCGTGTGTGTGGGAGACCTCTTTGCTCAGACCCTGTTGAGAATTTCTGGCATACTTGGGTAGGTGGCAGAGGTGCCCGCAGTGTGCTGGAGGTTGGACTGTGCTCAGTGGAAATGGGTTGCCCTTGCCCTTCTCGGCTGGTGCAGGGATGGCCTACCTGCTGTTACACCTTCATTTGACCCAGGAAGACTAGGCCACTTGAATCTTTGTGATCCTCCTCCTGCCCTGAGTGACGTCTTTGGAAGAGACCATTCCCTGCTCTCCTCATCTCATACTGTCCTCATTCAAGGCCTTCTGCACCTTTGCAACATTCCTAATTTTAGAAAAATGCAGTAAAGACATTTGCATTTTAGCTAGCTCTCCTTTTTTCTCTTGATAATTAAGAGAAACAGACACTTCTTGAGAATATGTCATCTGTCCTACTTTAAATTCCTAATTTAGGATCAGGGCCTAACAGAATACTGTGTGCTTTTCTCTCTGGTCATATACTCTATTAAAAAGGCCATGGAACAGCCTATCTAAACTACATCCATAGATTATGACAGAAACATATAAAAAAGCTACAGAAAATGCAGTTGTTAAAACCACAATTAGACATTAGAAGCAGAGGGAGGGGTAGTCATGACCTTATTTAAGTAGCACTTGGGAAACAGTCAAGACTGCAGGAGAGATGAGTTCTCACATTTTTCAAGCTGAGGGGATTGAAACCTGTAGTGCCCTTACTGTTATGGTATAGTGTACAGGGAGGAGATGGGGGTATGGTGTTCTCTAGGCATCCTGCTAAAGCTGAGCTGCAGTGCAAAAAAAGACAGAAGAATTATTTTAACTGTATATTTTTACTTTTCTTAAAGAAGGAACATAAGGGATAATTTACCACCTTCTCTGCTAGTAAGTGTAAATACAGGGTTTTTTAGTTTGTTTGTGTGTTTGTTTTCTTCAGCACTTGGCACTAACGGACCTTAGAAAAGGATATGTTATTGTAGGTAGTCTTATTTCCTAGGAAAGGCTGGTTGTCATCGGTTATGGACTAATCAGAAGGACAAACAGCAGGTTCCAAGCCTCCACAGGAGATGGAAAGTTGCATTAGGCATCCTCCTGGTAGGACCTAACTGTATTTTACTGAATGAAAGCAGGACTCTCCACATAAGAATGCAGCAGCAGAGATCCTCAATTACCTGTTCCAATGCACTCCTATATTTAAGAATAAAAGACTGAATTTCAGTAAGCCTCTGTATGCATCTAAGAGTAATTAGGCTTACTATCACTCCCTTTTTGAGACTTTGATTTATTCATTTTCTTTCTAAAAGGTAGAAGTTACTTCTAGGATTTTGAGCCCAATATCTCTGAGAAAACTGAACACTCCAAGCTATCAAGACAGAGATGGGGGTGGGGGATGGGGGAAGGATAAAGATGGGCTTGTTCTCGGTTGTTTTTTTTTTTGTTTGGGTATTTTGTGGTTTTATCTTGTTCATTTTACATTTCACAGGGGAGAGGGGAAGGCGTCTTCTGCTACTGTTGAGCCATTCAGATGATGTGAGGATATGTGGAAACTGATTCCATGAAGATTTGTCAGCTTTTTAGCAGAAAGGCAACAGAACTGTAAGAATGGAACACACGAGTCTCTAAGAGATCTACCAAAAACATGAACTAAACTCTAAATGTGATTTACCCTCTGACTGTAGAAGGAGCTAAGATGACAACCTAGGAAACAGACAACTTGTAGGTATCTGGAGATGGCAGGCAGTGAGGAATTCGTTTTCCCTACCTCCAGTGTTTTATTACCCACACACAGGCATAAAGTACAATTTCAGACCCCCAGGCATACCCTACCTGACCACCAGCAGCCAATTCAGAAATTTTTGGGTCTCACTTATGTCCAGTCCATATCTGCCAGCTCCATGCAATGCGTCACTATGGCATCTTAAGTAGCACTGATCAGCTGTGTTTGAGTACTTGAATGCCACGCCAAGGAACTTAATGGAGTCTAGAGAGAATTTCAGCTCATTACATACATTCAGTTTGGGCAACTGAATTGTTACTGAAATTAGGATGGCTCCAGTTAGCTGGCTAAAACATCTAAAGGTGTTCCATGTAGGTGTCTGCTTGTCTGGTTGTTACCCCATGATGTTCAAAGGAAGTGTCGTGAATACAGTCAGCAGAGTCTTCATGGTGCTGGTTGATATGATATGGTACATAATGGAAACCTCATTCTCCTGCAGCTGATTCTCCTTGAATGTTAGAAAAGGGCATTCCAGGACTGAAAACACACCATTAAAGGCATATATGTGGTGCTCTTTGAAAATCCATTAAATCCCTACTTAGACATTCTCAAAAAACTTCCCTGTGCTGCAGAGAAATACTTTGAAGTCCTGGTGGACATCAAGTTGAACAAGAGTCAGCAATGTGACCTTGACCTTACTGCAAAGAAGGTTAATGGTATCGTGGGTTGTATCAGGCATAGGATTGTCAGCAGGTTGAAGGAAGTGATCCTTCCCCTTTATTCAGTGATGGTGAAGCCACACCTGGAGTACCATGTCCAGTTCTAGGCTCCCCAGTACAAGAGAGAGATGGACATACTGGAGAGAGTCCAGTAAAGAGCCACAAAGATGATTAAGAGACTGGAACATCTCTCCTATGAGGAAAGGCTGAGACAGCTGGGATTGTTTAGCTTGGAGAAGAGAAGGCTCAGAGGGAATCTTATAAATGTGTATAAAAACCTGATGGGAAAGAATGAAAAAGACAGAGCGAGACTGTTGTCAGTGGTGCCCAGTGACAGGACAAGAGGCAATGGGCACAAATTAAAAACCATGAAATTCCATATGAACAGAAGAAAAAAACTTTTTTACTCTGAGGGTGCTCAAATAATGGAACAAGTTTTCTGGAGAGGTTGTGGTGTCTCCCCCTGCAGAGATATTCAAAACATGACTGGACAGAATCCTGGGCAACTGGATCTGGTGAAACCTACTAAGCCACAAAGACCCCAAGATCATTCTCTGAAGCCAATTGGTCCCCAGCCTGTGCTGGGGCATGGGGTATTCCAGGACTTGGCATTGCCCTTTGCTGAATTTCATGAGGTTCCTCTGCCTGTTTCTCCAGCCTCTTCAGGTCTCCCTGAATGACAGCATACCCATCTGGTCTATCAACACTCCTCCCATCTTTGTATTGTCAGCAAACGTGCTGAGAGTGCACTCTGTGCTATCATCCAGGTCATTAATGAAGAAGTTAAATAGTACTAGATGCAATATTGGCTCTTGGAGTACTCCACTAATGACTGGCCTGCAGCTGGACTTTGAGCCCCTGATCACAATCCTCTGAGCACAGCAGTTCAGCGAGTTTTCAATCCACCCCACTGTCCAGTTAGCTAGTCCATACTTTGTCAGCTTGTCTATTAGGATGTTGCAGGACAGAGTGTGAAAAGCCTTACTGAAGTCTCTAGTCATCCATCAAGCCAATCGCCTCATTATTACTCATACTCATCATTGAGTAGGGAAGTGATCGTGCCCCAGCTACTCGGCACTGGTAAGGCTGCACCTCGAATACTGTGTTCAGTTTTGGGCCCCTCACTACAAGAAGGACGTTGAGGTGCTGGAGTGTGTCCAGAGAAGGGCAACGAGGCTGGTGAGGGGTCTGGAGAAGAAGTCTTATGAGGAGCGGCTGAGGGAACTGGGGTTGTTTAGTCTGGAGAAAAGGAGGCTGAGGGGAGACCTCATCGCTCTCTACAACTTTGTAGTGAGGTGGGTGTCGGTCTCTTCTCCCAAGTAACTAGCGATAGGACGAGAGGAAATGGCCTCA